GATTTTTACTGAGCTTACTGAGTTTATCTTACACAAGATCTGACTTTTAAAGTTAGTCCAAAATAACGAGGGAAATATCAGAACTTATAAGGCATCATCAGTTTATGATGTTCAATAAGTGGTTATATATTGTATGATATAATAATTGATGTGTTCAATTTATATAATGATCTTCATATATTTTTACATATTAATAAAGTATTTATTAAAAATAATTCCCTTCCAACTGCGTATATATGTTGGTGTTAGAAATTCAGCTCATTCGCCGAAACAAGAAACACTTACATCTTTAAGTGTTCTATTTGAGTTTAATTTACCTATAAGAAATTATAATGTCTTTGTTGTGCAAGCTATGCGACCATTTCTATATGACTTTGCATGGAAAACTAAGAACTACCATATGCAAGTTAACCAGTTTTACTTCGCCTTTTTAAAGATACTTCTTGTTATCATTTGTGTTTATTTTAATTGTCACGACATTATCAGCGATCGCAGGCTTGTTGTAATATAATGATAGCTGGAAGTTTTCCGTTTATAATAATATTTTAATGGACATAACACGATTTAACAATTAAATTACATTAAGAAAACTTTGTGTATTCCGGAAATCTTATGAACATCCTCCCTGATTGATCATTCAGTTTAATAATAATACATAAAGATATATGTAAAGCGGACATTATATATAAGTTCTCACTTCCCCTTTAAATCAATATTTCACATACATTGTTTAAATATAAATACATGTATATTTAGAATCTGTATTTAGTTGCTTTTTGCTTACAATGAATAGTAATACGTGTTTCCATTTCGGATTTTTTTCAGTCATTTTAGTAACATGTGTTGTCACAGGAACTGGTAGGTGTTTTGACTTTTTTTCATTATTTCAAATTTTGCCACTTATATGACAGTCTTGTTGATGTTGTTATTGTTGTTGTTGTTGTTGATCATGATGATGATGATGATGATGGAAATGATAACCTTACAATGAAATGAAATGATGATGATGATTTTAACGACTTTTATTTCTATGCGGCGATTTTGACAATGAGGATAATGATGTTGAAAATGATTTTGGTGGTAATATAATTATAATGAATGATTCTGACATTGTCATAGTGATTAGGGAGATTTTGGCAGTAACAACATTTATGATGATTGAGATGTTGACGGTGGCGATTTTAACGATGGTGATTGTGCTGGTTGTTGCTATTACGACGATGACGATAATAATAATTTTCAATTTGTCAATTTCCGTTTGAAGTTGAAAAAAAAACAATCTCGAAAGAAGTAAAAGCGAACTCATTGTAGTTATTAATTGATAGCTTCATATAAAAGACACTATCTTTCAGGCGTGGTGATAGACTGCTATGGTACAACGGTATATGACTACATCGGCCATCAGCAGACGACAAAGAACGGAACACCGTGCATAAGATGGGATTCTAAAGATAATGGGGATTACAAAGATGAACAATTCCGTGACGCTACAGTATCTGATGCCGCAAACTTTTGCCGTAATGTCACAAAGAATTATCTCTGGTGCTGGACGTCAAACAATAGCGATTGGGGCAAATGTGGAATTGAAAAATGTGGTAAATGAGTAAAATTTACTTTTAATAGAAAGCATTTCCGGTCCAGCATGTTTTACCTTTTAAGCACTTAGTGTCTGGGTTTTGTATTTTATATAAAATATTTTATACATGAACTTATACATGTAGCTATCAGTTTTGGTCATTTAATTTGAATTGAAAAACATATATTCCTTAAATTGTTTACATAATATAATTGTTAAATTATAATAGCTTTTTATATGATTTATTTGAAATCAATTATATATATAACCGAATATGGTAAAGCATTTGTAGAGAGAATTAAGAAGGCGGGGAACGTAAGACACGAATACGGAATTTGAAAATCGTTAGAAGTTGTTTTTACTCATATGTACGCGTTACTAAGTCATGTATATATATATAATTTTCTTTAAAGTTTATTTATTTATTTATATATATATATATAGATATATATACATATATATATAATTTTCTCCAAAGTTTATTTATACATGACTTAGTAACGCGTACATATGAGTAAAACAACTTCTGACGATTTTCAAATTCCGTATTCGTGTCTTACGTTCCCCGCCTTCTTAGTTCTATCTACAAATGCTTTGCCTTTTTCGGATTTTCCATACACCGGATTCCGGAAGTTTATTTTCAAGACAAAGTGTCCGTATGACACATTTTTATTTCATAATCATTACGAGTATTTATATCATTTATTTGATATTATGATAGTGTAGCTAAGATAACGTACTGTGTATAAATAAACTTTCAAAGATACCTCAAAATATTATTCCTCCATAGTTTTAAGTGTTTCTAAAACTTTATTGTGTTTTTGCTAGTTAAGGTTGCATGCCTCCAGACGAGCCAAAATATTTCAAAACAATATAACTTGAGAAAAACGTATTGAGATGTTAAGAAAAGTAAAATATTCAAGATAAAAGCAATAACGTCCAAGCTATATGCGATTTATGATCGATTTTATTGTAATTTTCACCATATATCTACCGCGTTACCTCGTTTTGGTAATTTAAATGAGTTGTTAGTGCTGATCGCACTGTGAAAATTTGTTTCTTTGTTCTCTTCACAAATATATTTCTTTTGCATACTTTTCCAAATTTTTATGATAATTAGCATAAATCTGGAGGCGTGCTGCTTTAAATGGTTATTATATAAAGTGTTTTCTCGACAAGCATTTATACACTACCTCATTTTACATGTATTTATGCCATTATATTTTTACTTATAGATGAAAACGGTCTAAGCAAATGTGGAAATCTAAAAATTGAGCAACCAGCTTTACTAGGAAGGAACGTAACGTTTACTTTTACCCCGGACTCACATGATCCAAATGCAATTCTCGAATGGCAGCGTTCCAATAAATGGAACCCATGGTATACTCGTCCTTTGACATACAAGTTCACACAGTATAATGAAAATGGAACATACTACATGGTCTTAACAGACAGTGAACTTAAACATGATGAGGTTCATTACCGTATACATTATTACAACGAAAGCATGCACTGTTGGATGGAAACGGGAAAACTTAAACTTAATGGTATGCCAATTGTTACTTCGCAATGCCAGCTTCATTTACTCAACACATCAGTAACAGGGAACTTTTGATTATTTTGGTCGTCTTATTTTACTTGGACATAAAATCTGTATAATACGGCTTTATTACTTCTATGTTTGAGGAACACAAACGCATGAGTAAAAACTGCGCATGCTCTAAAGTCTGCGAAATAAGTATACAGTATATATTTTATCGGAATAGGAAGTCACATTTATAAAGACAGAGGGTCTGCATCAATAAGATTTAAAATAATACGAAGCTACCGTGTCGAAACAGTTGTTCTTTTAAAACATTATCCGTACATCTTACAGAATCAATTTATAATCTAGCCTGATAATCAGATATAGACATTTTGATTCTGTTTCTTGACACTTAGAGCTATATATATGTTTTAAGATAAAATAATTAATATGGAGAATTATTCATGTTACAATGATACCTATATAATAGGGATTTGATGTTGATTATCTATATTTGTCAAGAGGAAAAAATCAAACTAGAATCACTTGTATTTTTTAAAAAGAAGCATGTGTCCTTTTTCAGATAACCCAACTAATCCATGTGGATTTGTTTACCTTAGAAATAAACGTGTATTTGAGGGCGAGAATGTATATTTAGAATATTATCCGTCTAAAGATGTAATGGAAAACCCTGATAATTTTGAGCGCCAGTGGGTTCGATCAAAAAACGGATCTACATCTGATATTAAGATTGGAAATGATACTTACATTGAAAATAATACAGAAAATGGGAAGTATACATTGACATTTTCCATTGACAACAGTAAAAGTGGAAATTACAGTGTAAATTGCGGCGGAGAAGCGGGATTTACAAATACTATTTCAGTGGTTGGACTAGGTAAATATAAAATTCGACATCCTTATAACAATATAATTAAAATTAATTAACGATGCTAATCGTGCTGAGTGAGCTGTTTTTATAAGGTAGAAAAATAATAATGTAGTTTTTATTTGTTTGGATCGTCAGACCAAACAAATAATGGTAGCGAAATTTCTGACTCTGATGCTGTTAATTGCAAATGCCAAAAGTAGTCCGCTTTTTTGCAGCGTTTACTTCCCTTTATATGTACACTAACGCCGAAAGAGAGATCACTGCTTAAAGATGGTCAAATGACAGGCGCATTAATTTTCAAACAAAATAATTCCCGAATGGTCGAAGATTTCTAATATTGTTTTATACTTTATAGATATACATGCCTATAGTAAGCTCCATGATAATTTACATCAGTGTTAAACAACAGTTAGCGTCGAAATAATAAGGGTTACAAACCCTAATTTCGAATAATATGATTTTCATCAGGCCGTTCACATATAACTTCACCGTGGCCGAGGGGTTTGCGCGCTCGCTTAGGAAGCGAGAGGTCTGGATATCAAATTCCTGTTAAGGCAACTCTTTGTTTTCAAATTGTTTCAGTCAAATAAACATTGAATTGAATATCAGTGTTGCAATTAGTCTTACAGCCAATTTACTACAATTAAAACGTTTGAAAGCATTGGTGGCACTATACAAAAATTGGTTTATAATCTCACAACCTTCACCTTTCGGACATTCTGAGACCCAAACATATTAATCGCCTTCTGTGCTTTGATTATATCTAATATGTACACCAGTGCATTATTATATTGCTGACGAGCTGATGGCTTTTTATAATAATTTAGAATCCACAACTACGTGACAATTTAGTTAACTCCATTGTAACTAAGAAACGAAGAATAAAGCTAATATGTGGACAAATCTTTGTTTTAAACCTTTATACACTTTTGATCTCACCAACGCGTTATAATTATATTTCATACCCTTGCCGCTTTTTCGACATCATAAAACGATAAAGACTTGAAGTCAGAGTTATGTTTTCTGTATTAATACTAAATATGGAAAATAACATTTTTACTTATCATTATTTTGTCCCTGTGTGTTGGGTTGGGGTTAGAGCGATAGTTGGGTACAGCGTGCACTTAGAGTCTTTTCCTTAGCATGCATCATGTATGCACACATCCGACCGGCAGAAAATCTGATAGTATATTGTGGAAGTTGCTGACATAATAACATCACGTTTTAGTCAAACACATTGTTGATACATGAGAAGGTAAAATTTTAAAGGTCATTTAAAGGCTATCTAATGTATTATTTGTGTTTTGTATCTTACTGTGTATCTCATATATTTTACGGATCACACTTGGTGCTTCCGCGCTACGTGATATTTTACCGTTACAATATCCACTAGAGTCCAAATCAATCTACTCACTTAAAAGATAACCCTATTACAATGTTAAATGGCACACAGTATACAAATTATTGGCTGTCAAATATATAAATGTATACAAGTGATATTTGTTATGTTTTAGTGCCACCAAGTGCCCCGGAATTTGTTGGTTTGCGGGACATTGATGATTGTAAGAAATGCATTGTTGGTTCTGACAAAGAGAACATTCAAGTCCAGTGCAACACTAGTGGCGGGACACCACCCCCACATGTAACAGCAACAGTAGGAGACCAATCATTCCAAGCATTGCAGTATAATGATACATCGTTTTATATAGCATTTATCACACTTGCTGACAGTTACCACAATATAACAATCACTTGTTCGGTAATGAATGACGCATTATCGTCACCACTTATCACTACTGCAAAAGTGTATGTTATAAGTAAGTTATGTTTTATCATTGACATTAACCAACATAATTACTTTGTTTTAATTTAAATAATTTGAATTATTTCAGTTATAGATATTTATGTTTAAACATGAAATTATAATAAGAAGAGAGCAGTGTTATAAAGACGTTGCAAAAAATAAAATTAGTTATGTAAAATTAATTTGTAGTATATATTGATAAGAACTATTGTTTAACCGATACATTATTTTGCGTTGATAGCCGACAAATGATCCAAAATGTACTAAAGTTTGAAGTTTAGATTGTAAAGAATAACATGCAATGTGATAAATATCTTACTTCCAACATCAATGTTTACATAATAGACAAAAGAAGTATATTTCGAAGAACATTATTCTGTGGAAAATCAGAAACATAAGCAGTGGCATTATGAAAATGACAACCCGTCCGAATATACATTTTATTAAATATCTTTAACGAAATCTCTTTAAAGATTTACATTTTCCTTTGCACAAGAATAAACATATTTTTTGGTGTTTTGTGAGTTCACCTTGCACTATTTGTCATTCAAATGCTTTGTAGTACTTTATACTTCGTAGTGGTGACATGGCCGAGTGTTTAACACAGAAGTTGTTGGTCAAGACCAGAATTATTTCAAAGCAACCTTAAAAACAATTATCTTGTAATGTTTCATAATCTAAGAAGGTTTCTTTACCAGTTACATGTACTACAATTAATTTTCTGGACTTACGGTGTATATAGTGATGAATAAATTAACACCAGCATAATATCTCTGGTCTCAAAATGGAACGTACTTACTTTAATCAACACAGAAAAAGATATCGTGATAAAACGACAGAAAACAAATTGTTTGAAACATACTTTTTATTTTGGAGTTGTGCTACATTATTCCTTTAGAAATAAGAAATTAAGTCATTACATTTCAAACATTTGATTTTTATGTCTTTTTGTATTTATTACGGAAGGCGATTTTGCATTATACATGTTATTTGTGATGCTTTGATGTATTGTCTTAATAAGCTACCTTAAAGAGCTAAATAAGGAGTTTATTATTATTACCAACATCATGTGGTACACAAATTTCGAAAACAAAAATTCGCAAAAACAAAATTCGAGTCCCGTCTGGTCAAACACTCCAAAAATTCCAAATCTCAACTGATATCCTAAGTTATTACATATCCGTGCCGCTTTTGCGACGCCGTTTTTGCTACTGCGTTAAAATGTATTGCAACACCGTGCATATATTTTGATGTGATGGCATTTAAATTATAAAAGTATTGTGTGAAGACGTTCTAAATGTTAGCGTTATACTATAAGCACATCAATAAAAAACCTTTTACTTGAAGAAGTTTTTATGGAGTAGCTATTCAGAGTTTATTGAACTCGTTTACTAAAATAATATAATGCTCCCCAAAGCTCATATGATAATTCTATTCAACTCGTTCAATAAATTCAGTATTACATTCATTTTTTTAGAATTGATTGAAATTTACTTTTTGTTCGTTATGCGAAGAAAACAAATATTTTGTTTACATTGCTTGTATTAAAACAGGGTTTATCTGTTGATGTTGAATGTTGAATTTTGTTTAAGCCAGTGCTAGCGAGCGTGGTTCGTAACATGCAATTAATAAAATAGACTCAGTTTAGTCAAGCCAGCAATATTTTCAGTTTTTTTGTGCTTGTTAGCACTATAAGGATTCTGACTTTCTGTATTTTATAACGATATCTATGTTTCTTCTTTATGTGCACACTCAGAATATCCATGGGATATAAATCTTACTCTAAAACTTTATATATTTTCTACAGAGCCTCCATCTGATGTTGTGTTATCAACACCAAATTACCTAAAAGAAGGGAGTCCCGTATATATCACTTGTCTGAGTCTAAACTCAAGACCTTTGCCTGATGTTTATTTCAACATTTCCGATATTAAAGTGCCGTCTACTGACGTAAATACGATAACTACTTTCAATAAGGCCACTTCATTATACAGAAGCTTTACCATCCTGACAAAATTTCGACGAGAATGGAACGGAGAGAAAATATTTTGTTGTAGTTATAATAAATGGTACAATACACCTAGATACTGTTCCGAAGCGAAACAAGTTAACTTTATGTGTAAGTGTTTTAATATTTAATTTAATAAATACTGAAGGAAAGCTTATTTTAATGTTTTAAAATCTAATCAAGATCTTCAGATAGAAAAAGGAATGACAACCTTTCAAAGTAAACGGATTGTTGATTATAAATTAGTACAGCGAACAAATCTGATAAATACATATGATAGAAGATTGGGTTTTGCCAGACGTTTGATTGGCTGAATGTAATGAACTAGATAGCTGGTTGACTGACTGGAACAATTCGATGTCAAACATTTTATCCAAACTTGTTTAAAGTATTGATATAGTTGCGCTTTCTTGATGCTTTGGTTGGACAAATTTAAACTTTGTTTTGAAATTTTTTTTCCATCCTTTGAATATGTGACGTGTTTGTAAATCCTCATGACCTTTGTAGAATATCTTTTAACATCATAAAACATACGTAATGGTATAACAAACTAAACAATGCATCGGATTGAAATACATATTAACACCAAACAGTGTATATAATCTGAGCACAATGCTTAGGTGTCACATAACACATAACATTATAATTAAATTTAGCGGCACAAACAATCAATTTATGACATATTTCTAATATGTTTTATTTCAGTTCCTCCATCTGACATCAAACTTGAAATCAAATTTGACTCTGTAGATCCACTTCGTATGTACGCTGTATGTACCCTGAACAATTCTAATCCGGTTTGCAGGGCTAATTTCACGGCAGCCGACGAAATCATCGGTTCAGAAAGGAACTCAAAGAACACGAGTCTCCCGCATGGTGCGTGGAAAACAGAGTATGTCGTTAATTTGAATGTCAGTAAAGAAGACAATGGTAAAGATGTTACATGTGCTGCCGACTGCGCAGACTTTCAGGACCTGGAACTTAGAGACACAAAAACAATTAAACTTCCATGTAAGCTAAAACCCAATAGTCAATACAAAAGTATATTTTACTAGATAGTTACTGACATTGTTTTTGGAAAGAGATAATTTTAAATATATATCATCCAATGACACTGGGTGTTTTAACTGTAATATAACCATTACGTTTTGATCTTGTATTTGTAATACACTGTCACGTGTAATGTTACAGGGGTTACAGGCTTTCCTAAATAATTTTTCCTTGAACAAGTTCAGGAAATTTTATATGGAAGAAATGTGAGATCCTTTATCATATATCAATATTTAATATTTCAACATATTAGAATGATTAAAAGTATTTCTTAAATATCACAAAGTAAGTCAAGCCATGTTTTAACATGAAAAGTTTAAAGGAATTACCAAATATCAAAACTATTTATCATATGATTAAATGATATATGTGATTTATAATTTAATTTAAGTTTTAGTGTGTCAAATCGGATCTGCACATTTGTTATTCATTTAGCAAACGCTTTACACTTTTTGTTTCATGTTTACATTTTTTATGTCAGACGGACGTTTAGTTTCAATCGAAAAAAGGTTTACAAGCCCATTTCGACATAACTACAAAACGAACGTTGTCTAAACAAACCTTCATTATCACAATATAAAGATATCCTTGTCTTTTAGAACATTTACGTATTTTGTATTTTTCTTTGTATCGAAAAACTGTCTGTTTACATGTTACTGTTTACATGTATTTCCTATGGTTTATATGTTCTTCTATTTTCATAAAAACATACATATTGTCAATTTCTGTTCTTAAATTAGCAAGCATTAATTACGTTTTACCTTTATCCATGTATTGAAGACTTGACTTCATTCAGTACATAATACATCTTATCGGCTGTAGTGATAAAGTGTAAAGTGACAGACTAAATATAATTCTTAGATATAATTAAAAAAACAACAACCAAAAACAAACAAATGAAAAAAGACCGACCATTGAAATAAAGACTGCAATATATCTTGATTGATATTAACTTTTTCTGGCGGAGAACCAATACGTGTTAAATTGTTAAATTTGATAGCAGTCCCGCCTCTAATATACCATGGATATCGCACACACGTATGCACGCACACACTCAACAGAAAACATATGACTTTGTTTCAATTTGCTTCTAATCTATTGTTACGAGATGATTTATTGAATGTAAATTTCAGACCGCCCCGTTATAAAGTTCAATATTTCTGGAGCAATGTTAGATATTACCAAAGGAGAACGAGCACATGTTAAATGTACAGCTGACAGCGTTCCCGTCTCTAATATATCCTGGATTGAGATGTCAGATAAAGAAAACAAAATAAAGAAGCAATGTGATTATGAAAAGGAATGTGTTTTAGACGTAAATGCAGATGTCATCTCGAAACAATACTTTGTGTGTGCGATAAGCTATTTGCAACTGAACGACAATAAAACTTTGATTGTTAACATTTATAAATCCAGTAAGCATGATCTTGTATGACGGTTTTGTTCTTTTCAGCTGCATAAGGATACAAATACACTATTGTTATTGTTTTATGTAACACTCGTATTACAAAGTTTAAATATTGATATATAGATGCTGTTGAAAGAAATTGGTATACATCGATCAAAATGTCGGTCAGTATGCCATTTGTTTTTTTGACGACTAACATGTCACTGAATTATACGTCGATCGGTATGTCAGTAGGTTTGTCCTCTTAACCTGCTTATATAATGAATTGGAGCAATAGGGAAGAATTGATATTCCTCATTCCAATCTTTTTTTAACATGTCATAAACATGTACATTGTATATTCAAATGATTAAACAAATGAAGATATTTCTATTACTTTAAGTAAAAGCACACAACTAAACCAGCCCTCATTTAAAAAGAATTAAGTAGTTCTCTTTATTAGTCGTCATTTATTGTAAATTTATTCTTATTGTTCCAGGGAACAAAAAACAAATGTCTCAAATGTCCAACAACGGAAATGGAACGCTTATTGGAATCATTGTCGGAATATGTTCAGCGTTGGTTGTAATAATTGTTGTCATGGTTATTGTCATCAGAAACAAACGAAACAATGAGCAAGGTAAGTTAGAATAAATTGTTGTAACAGTAGCATACGTTATAGTCTGAGATAAACCTTAAATGAAAATGAAAAACATTTTGCTCATTTCTGCAATAATAGATCTAGTTGATAATATAGTTGAGTCTAAAAGAATCATCAGTTTGGAGTTGCTATTCCTCGCAGAAATAACATTGTTGTGTGAAAGAAAGTAAATATATGTTACTTATTTCTATAAAAAAGTGAGAAGTATACAACATGGGAATTTAGAATGTTGTACATTTTACTACAAAATCATTGATGACTTTATGTTTTAAAAATGGTCTATGTCTGGGCCATTAAATGAACTTTTATTATATATTATGTTGCTTTCTTGTGCCATATTGCACAAAGTTGTTACATATTACAACTGATCACATTTTTTCTAAGGTCAATTTAGTTTAGATTTTGTACCTATTGTTTACTGAAAAAAGTATACATTTTAATTTGAGTCACTTATAGGTTAAGTTCACCATTATATACATTACTATTTGTCTGGGCCTTACATTATTATAATAACAATTGTCTATATGTCAAAAATATACCTGTTTAATTTTCATTCTATCATAGAACTAAACTTTGCAATAACATTAATGAAATTTTGTACAACATCTTATGATTTAGCAATAGAACACGGTCAATAAATGAACCTATACATGAGAAAATTTGTTTGAATTGCAATTTAAAAGCAGTTAAAAAAATCAATACTATTGTCTTTCTCATTGGTTCAAAGCTTAGACTAAGTAAAATATTTAAAAAAAAACAATGCATACGATACAAAAATTACCAGTTTTTAAAGTAACATTGTGGTCTTTTTTTCTTTCATTGAATAATTGAGCTGCATTGAAAATATATGTTTTCAAAGTTTATCTGCTAAAATAATGATTAGCCGACAGTTGATATTGGAAAATACTTTTGATAAACTATAAACATAAAGAGACAGCCCTAGTGTTTTATAAACTGAACGATACAGTTGAATTCTGATGGGTATTTATAAAAAATACCTTGGACCACGTGAGTTATTTATCGTAAATGAAAAGTAAATCATTAAATTGAAAGAAGTTATGGCATAATGAACACTTATTTCGTATTTCAACTGCTCGTTTTTTATATACCCTTGAATGGGCATAACGTCACTTAAAATGATTCTCACCAAAAACCTGTGCAAACGTTATGAACATTAATACATTATTCTAATTTGCTTAGCGACTTCATAACACATTTAATTTAATAATGCTCTTCAGATAATGTGATTGATAAATAATAAAATGTACAATGGTTAACGAAATCCATATCTTTCCATTGTAATTCATGTATTATTTACTATAAATGTGTTTGTCACGTTTAATGCAATAACTATAATGAAAGGGGGCGTCCGTGGCCGAGTGGTTAAGGTCGTTGATTTCAAACCACTTGCCCCTCCTCGCTGTGGGTTCGAATCCTGACAGGGACTTTGGATTCTTTCATGTGAGGAAGCTATCCAGCTAGCTTACGGAACGTCGGTGGTTCTGTTCAGGTACCCGTTCGTGCCTGTATTAATGCACGGAAGGGCACCTGAGGTCTTCACCCACCAGTAAAGCAGGAACGTCGCGATATGACCTATACTGTGTCGATGTGACGAAAAACCCAAAACAAACAAACACACTGTATATTGAATGGAAATGTATTATAATTAATTCAGAAGAATGCATAATCTGCTTTTACTGTTTTCATCATTCCCGACATTATAACATTTTTAAAATTGTAACTATATATGATTATAAAATTTCTTTCCAGCAAAACATAAAACACATCAGTCGAGTCAGAAAGGAAACAGTCTTCCTCAGCGGTATGTTGATCTTATTACATATACATTTTACCAACGAGTTACTCTTATTGTTGTCTTCAAAGTAGATAAAAAAGTACATTCACACAGTATTCAAAAGCTCTTGATATGAAGCAAAAAATTATTTTGGACCTATTTCTCAATTAGCAAATAGGCAAGAATTTCAATCTTTGTTCAATTAGCAATGATGCAAGTATTTCTGTCTATATGTCAACAACCAGCATTTAGGCACGTTTACAGCCTACAAACAATATTTAGCAATTGGAAAAGTATTTTAGTCTAGTCAATAATTAGCAATTATAAAAGGATTGCAGCCTCTGTTTCAATAACTAGCAATCAGACAAATAATTCAGCCTTTTAAAATGCTTCTTTTGTTTGATTTCTTTGATGGGGTTAACGTCACGCCAACACAATATAGGTCATAAGACGACGTACCAGCTTTTCCGGTGGAGGAAGACCTCAGGTGCCCTTCCATGAAATATTTCAGTCACGAATTGGCACCTGAGTAGAACCACCGACATTCCGTAAGCCAGCTGGATAGCTTCCTCACATGAAAGAATACGAAGTCTCTATCAGAATTCGAACCGACAGCAATGAGGGGCAAATTATTTGTAGTCAAAGACCTTAATCACTCGGATACAGACACCCTCTAAATAGTCAGCAATTAGACAAGCATTTAAGCCTGTATGCCAAAACGTAGCATTTAGACTAGTATTTCAGCTTCTATATCAATTCTTAGAAAATTGGCAAGTATTTCAGGCTATATATACTACTTAATTATTATATATACTACTTAATTATTAGCGAAATGTTTTGCCTGTCTGTATCTCAATACATGTACTTAGCAATAAGATGCAATCACTGTCATAACTTATCAAACATAAACATTATCATCGCATTTGAAAATTCAGAGAAAATGAGCATGCTGCGTCAGGAAAGGATGTCGCCTTTGCAGACGATTTGTGTGACGTTACATATTCTCAACCAATCAAGAAGAAAAAGGTTGCCGCAGTGTGTGATGAAACATATGCTGAAGTTGATAAAACAAGAAATAGAGACCATCAAGCTAAAGGCTCTGCTGCTGAGGGACAGGTATTACAATATATTCTTTTCCGGTTATAACATTCATAGCACTTATTTATCGGCATTTTTCTATTATCTATTACATTTTGGTATGATAGGTCGATTGAGTATCCCATAGCAACCATTTTTAATTGGATAGAGCAATGGTACTGGCGAAAAGTAACGACGTCAAGATGGCGTTTCGACTTTGACTACTTACAATGCAATACGCTTGTTTGGAACTCGCAACCAACGCGCATGAACCTTTGCTACCTTTAGCTGGTTTCTCCAAAATGGATGCTGCCATAACTAACGCCTACTTTTATACCATGTCATTTACAGTCAACCTAAGGCTCCCCGCGATTAGACCTTTTAGTGAGCGTTCATTATTCGTTTCCCTGTCGTATTTTAGAGATTCCTACCCTCCGAAAATCGTTTAACCACTTAAAATAGGAAATGTTTATAACTATATGAAAATCGATAAGCATCCTTCATCATTTTCATCTTCTCTGTTGGTGTTTTCCCTAGGTCCACACAAACCTTTATTAGTGCACGGTTCTCTTCCTGTGCCAGTTCCGCTATTGTTATCTTTTTCCGCGTAGCTTGAACTTATTAGCTATTTATTCTCAAGAACCTAACGGATGATGTTCAAAGTTGCAACGACGTTACATATGACGTCAACACATAAGAAAACACCGTTTGGTATAGTTTTGCGCCAATTTAAGGAGTCGACAGAGATATTAACACGACGCAGTGCAGTCAATAAATGGGCTGCTCCGGGACACAAATAAATATCAATATAAACCATATTACTCTTTTAATATTTAATTGCCTAATATGTATACAAAATTTAATTGGTTTAGGTCCAGTAGTTTTTAATTTATAACAAAAGTCCGCGTATTTTTTATCCACCCTCGTACAAAAACTTAAAGCAACTAGCATGAATTAATGTTTGTGAAATAACATTAATAAGCATAAAGTAAAAGGCATCATGTTTTGAAGCATGATGTAAATAAACATGAAATTAAAGTAACTGACATTAGTTCATTTTTTAAATATATAATGAAACTAGGCCCATATTACGCATGAAGCATTATAGAAATTTGCATTAATTCATTTTTTGAAGCATAATATAAGAACTATAAAGTAAAGGCATTAAATTGTGGGTTGAATTATGGTATAGTTAAAATTATTTAAAGTAAAATAAAAAAATACGTGCTTTGAAGGATGAATAAACATATAAACACAAATAAATGAAACATTAATAAATTAAATCTTTTTGCAGAAATGTCAAAACCTTTTTATTATGATATTCTATGCAAAAGTGCTAGTAGTATACTATTATACTTGTGTAATAGCTAGGATTTGAATAGCATCAAGAAGCTACACATTTTCTTCGAGATAAATTTTTCTTCACTTTCATACAAACACATTTATATTTGTGACCCGACAAGCCGACAGAATTTATAACTAAAGTTTACAAATCAATATTCCGAAAACTGAATATAAATATCATTTTTGATTTGTGCTCTTTTGACACTTTTATCTGTGCTACCAATATTGTTTCTCAAAATAAATGTTATGATGATACATTTTTATTTGCAAATATTTCGTAAATGACATGTAATATGCAGGTTTCGTAACCTCTGTTCCCCTTTCAAGATTCCATTTTGATTTAGATCAGCCCAGTGTTTTCTCGTATAGGGCACACACATTCTTTTACCTACTTTTTATGGAATGGCACTAACGTGTCACATTGAAGGTTCCATTATAACCGCCGGATGAACGCATCTGTGGATGTTTCAAAGTTATAAATGGTACAAATTAATGTTAAATGTTGAATGGTGCTTAAGTCGGTGCTAGGGTACGTGGGTGGTAGGTCACTGGTAGCTTGCATTTTCCAGTACCGTCCAGGCTCAACAAACCAAGCCAAGCCTGCAACATTTTCAATGTTGTCGTTTATGCGATTCTATTTGTCTCTATTTTAACAAAGGAATTATTTTTCAAAATATTTTTATGTTATTTATAATTATATTTAACTTCATGATGGCTGTCACTATAATAATAAATTACTTTGATCATTTTCTGAAAATAAAATTCAGCGCTCTGAAGATGGACAGCTTATGTATGTTGACCTCGAATTCAATGCAGATGGAAAGACGCCAAAAGAAGCTGTCGTCAAGCGGCGCGATTCACCTACTGAATATGTTGGTATAGATTTCGCCAAAACTGCAGCTTATATTGCTGAAGAGAATGATACGGAAGATACAGAAATGGACAGTATCTATGTAAATCAGTAATTAAAAATGGAAATATGTGTGATAGTTACTACTGTACTCACATACACTTGAATTCTTGACCCTATGCTTATCTGCCGTTGAATATTAAAAACTAATGTAGTTACTTTGTAAACTATCATTTATTAATAGGGTTTGTAAAATGAATTAAGCCATGAAGTAAACAGTGAACAGAAGATAATCAGAAAGGGAGCTAACAATAATCTATAATTTCTCAAAGTGTCCGAGACTGTCATATCTTATTAATGAAAATTTTGTCACTTTTTTATTCTTAATGTGATAACTACATGTACGTACGGTTTTTCCTAACCTTATGGGTAACTGTTACTTTCGTTGGACGGAAATCACTCACGAATATTTCAAAATTCTCGCAATCATGTTTATATTTTAAATCTTCTTGTTGAAGTTAAAAAACTAAACCTTAATTATTCACTTAAATCCTACAATTCTTGTAATTTTATGAAAGTGTATTTTTCGTTCTGTTGTCATGTACTTGTAACAACTAAATGAGAAGATAAAAGTAAAACAATATAATTATTTACTAATCTGAAAATGATATTAGTTATGATTGTTGATATTTTTTCTATTTATATTTGCTTTTTGTAATGTTGTTTTTTGTATAATTGTTTCTGTACATAATGTACTTTTCTGATTAATTTTCATATACAGTAAGTGTGATGTTGTTAATAATAAGAAAGTGCTATTACAACATGTTTATATATCATTTACGCCTATTCTGTCGATTTTAGTTATTATGCACAAGCCAGTTTCAACCACTCAATCCATCAGTGAAATATAGCGTTACATTCCATTGTGGAAATATACGTTATCATGATGACTGTAACCACAGTCACTTAGATTTGATGACCCTATCATTATCCGCCCCTGAACAATAAAACGAGATCAACTGTTTTTTGTTTTGTTTTCATTTTTGTGCTCTTAACAAGACAATAATTCATCAATTGTAAATTGATGTTGTTAGATTACCAATCCCTTTGATGTGACCATATCATGAAAAGAATGAAAACTACAAGTGTTCTAATATCAATGCATCTATGTATGCACGTTATATTTGTTCTTAGGTTTAACTTAGAATTTTGTATTCAAATTCCCAAAAGATTTAAACCCAAAAATTTTTAGTCTCCCGAAACCCAAATTTTTTTAAAAAAGTCCAGTAAAACTATAAAAAACACTTTGGGAAAAATTTTTTTATTTTAAGGGGCCGTATTTGGCAAAATTTTGAAACTTCTCCAAACAATTTTTTTAAATTTCGATATACAAGTAGACAATTTCGTAGTGAGGCTATTAAAGAATTGGGTATAAAAAGGGAAAGCTACCATGAATACATATCCCAGCCTTTGTGTTTTAGAATATGAATAAAATAACGTTTTAGATGCATTTATATTTGAACACTCCTCGTAAAATATGAAAAACAAAATCAACATGGAAGGGCATTCAATGAAACATAAAGAACTACATGTATATATATGAATATAACATATAAATAGTCATTAATCATACATCCTTTAAAAAGTTGATTACTTCAAAGGTTAGAGTTGGATTGGGAAATGAAGTTCAATCCATCCTAATGGCAAGTAATTAACCTCACAATAAGTATACTCCATATATATACCTCATAATTTATTCTCTTTATTCGAACTACTGGTACTTTAAATGTGGTTAAATCGACCAAATACAATAAATAGTCTCTCATGAGACTACGTTAATAGGTCAACCAAAATGCTAACTAGACTCTTAGCATCTTACGCCGTCATAAAATATAAATATAGAATTCATTAATGGCATGGCATAAAAAAGACAATTCGACTATTCCTTTAATACGCATAGAAAATTAGTTGTGTGTCATTTACCCCAATTGTTCAGATAGAACCTGCCCAAAACAGATCTGCGAGCTGGATTAAATCTGACTTTGAACGCACATCAAAAGAGAATGCCGACTAGATCTAAGTTGTATTGTCTTTAGGCTCTCAATGATGATCAACATCAATAATGGTATATAATCGCAATCCCCCAAATGATATCACTCCCTTCTGTATAGCTATGGGTTTACCCCCGTGAAATCTAGACTCCTACACTTTTTTTTCTTTCCAAGGCTTACCTCCTTATAATGTTTCATTGCATACACCTAACCAGTGGTAAAAAAAAGAAGTTTTTGTTACAATTTTATTTACCAAAGCGTTTGCGATAGCATAACAATCAAGTTAGTAATTTTAACGATCCCTTTCGTCAAATAACCTCAAAGTCTCTTTAGGTAATCGTTAGGTAATTGTTAACCAATCGTTTTATTAAGCAAGTCAATATCTGATGTTATCCGTCAATTATTGTTCATGAAACAATAATAATAAGTATGTATTGTTTACACTTTTATATCTGTTAGTAAACATAATTCTAGTGGACTTTAACTAGATATACTGCAATTAACTATGTCAACAACTCCAAGCTGATTGCATGTTAAGTTTCTTAGCGTATCACCCACTAAAAAGAGATAGTTATCTTGAATCATTCCTCGTATTTCAAAATACAAATACCTATACACTGAATTTCACTTTTACATGTTTTACGCAACACTTTTCAACATTAAAAAATCGTAATACAGACTTTATTTAGTAAAGCGTACAAGCAAATTCTTGCGAGTTAGGAAAGTTTAAAATTTATTAATTTTTTCTCCCCAACGAAATATAATATGTATTTAACTCCTCCTTTTTCCCAAAAATCTATTTACGCTTTATCTATTTTATCGATTATATTACTTAAAACTTCAATAATTTTCTCTGATTTTTTTTTCTGTTTAAAGATTATAATAATCTATGCGATCATAGTTTTAAATGATTTAATCGTTTTGAAAAAAGACGGTTTCATTAAATAAAACTGAAGTTACTAAAAATATGTAAATTCATTAAAAAAACAATAAGTTGTCAATGATACATATAAAAAAATCTAATAAAGAGAGGTAGTAAGAACACAGTTTCATATGCCCAAAAACATTATATTTAATTTGATTAGATATTTTGCATGAAGCATTGCCTTGTTGGCATCTGCACAAGTCACGTATTTGCCCTATCCCAGGGGTCACTAAAATATGAAAACTTAACTTATTTTCATGTATGCATTCTTATGGAAAGCTACAATGTCCAGATCTTAGTTATTTGTCATGTTTCATTACCTAGAAGAACTATGCAATAGTTACAAAATTCATTTCACTGATTTTATTTAGTACCCATGTCTTAAAAGTCTTTTCCTCCAGCCTACAACGTGCAGAGCATAGATATCTCAACACTATTGTAAAATAATGAACATAATATGGATGTCTGTGTGAGTATTGGTGTTATCGTAATTATAAAAGGAGGTAATAAAAATGAAAATTATTTATAAGAATAGTATTTTTATTTTTTGACTAAAATTTTCAGGCATTTTCCCATTTTTTTGTTTTTTGAATTTTGGTTTTTTTTAATAATTTTATTTTAAACGTTTCTCCCCTTTAATTGTTTCCATTTAAAAAACCAAAATTTTTTGTTCTTTTTTCATTTTTAAAAAATTTTTTATTATTACTTTTTGTTTTTAAAAATTTGGCTATGAACTTTGACATTTTTTTAACGTATGTGGCCCCCGAAAATTTGCATTTAATGTTTTTTAAAAAGGGTAAAATGGAAGTTTAAAATTAAAAAAAAAAATAACAAAAAAATAACATTAAAAACCCCTCCAAATTTAAGCAAAAAAATAAAAAATTTAAAACCTAAAACCTTCAAAGTTTACAAAAAAATTTTTCTTTGGCATGTATCAATTTTATTCTTAAATTTCTATTTAAGAGGTAAAATTTGAAACTTTCAATAAAAATTGTTCCGGACAATTGGGACTCAATGGAAACTTCCTCTGTAAATCAAGAATTGATTTTGATTTGATCTACTTTACATTTTAATAAATTAAAACAAATTTACATTCGGGTGTATATTCCCACGCCTATGCGGTGCTCTAGTTCTGTAAATGTTATATAGTTCAACTATCGTAGAGACAATAACACTATCGTAAATTGTAAAATGTCCACCATGTTCAAAAAAGAATTAGATTTTTTACAAAGTCACTGAAAATCTACATGCAGCACAAAATTGAAATTATAGCCATTTGTATTTTTAGATGCCGTTAACTAAATAGACATCATGTGGACCAGATGACAATCTGTTCGTATTTTTATTTAAAATAATTTTACATGCTCTCGATGGCGATTAGTATATACATATTGATATATATAAACGGTTCTTAAATTATAAGAAACGCATTTTCTCTAGCTGTTCCTTCATTAATAGATATATTGCAAAATAAACCAGGGCGATGTCAGGAGAAGAGGGATAAAAGAATATATTATGTTGTATACATGACATTCATTTATATAAACCATGTGTATCCAAAGCGTTTCTAATACGAATTTTCAAATTTCATTAAAAAAGATAGTTTGAAGCGAATCTTGAATAACAAGCTCGCAGTTTATATTGTTATAAGGTAAAATTCCAACATCAACAGATTATGAAATTATTACATAATATTGCATAATATTTCTCAAGAAGTATAATATATATAATCTTCATGGTTATTTTACTAAGCCTTTAAGGATCTGAACTCTTTGATGAACAATGGTGTGGTAATCATTTAACTTGGCCAATACACTAATTGTTCATCTTTTACTTTGCCTAGCCCAGAAACAAAGAAATCTCAAGTATTTGATATTTTTTGTCTTTGGCTCCTAACGTGTATAAATATATTTAGTATGCAATTAGTTACATTTGATGAGTTATAATATATTTAAGAACTGATAAGTCTGAAGCAAAAATTAAAATGAAGCATTAATGAAAATGACCTTAGATGGCTAAAATTATTTGATCAATCAGAACAGTTCGACATTTACCCGGTTCCTCCATAATTCTTGCTCCCAGCAATGTCCAAATATAAACGCACTTTGCAGAATTGTGGCATTCTGCTGCTCATTTTTTAAGACGTCAGATCTTTGAAAGCTGTTTAAGGTCTATTGATTAATAAATGAATTTATTTTAGGCATTTTGCAATATAAATGAACCTTGCATAACATAAAAAATACGGAAACATTTTTGATAATTCCGTAATTTTGGTAATTTATTTTTGCAGAAATAATTAAAATTAATTAAAAGCTTTACTTTGATAAATCCTTATTCAGTTGAAGCTTTCAAAATCGAAAAATGTGGATTTACCAAATAAAAAATCAACATATTATGTAATTAGTACATAATATTGCATAATATTACTCAAGAAGTATACTATATACTATCTTCATGAATAGTTTACTAAGAAATTAGAAATTTTATTGTATTCTTTTATTTTATGGTAGATTGAACTTATTGATTGACAATAATTTTGTAATTACATGTATATAGCTTGGCGTATACACAAATTGTTAAATTTTCACTTCAAATGCCTAGCCTATAAACTTAAATTCTTTCAAGTAGTTGAATTTTTCTTGCCTTTAGCTTTAAATGTTTATAAATATATTTAGTTTGCTATTAGTTTTCAGTTTTTGTTATAATCAATTTTTAGAAGCTTAATCATGTATTATCATACTGCAAATTTTCCATGAATCAAAATCTATTTAAGAAATAATAATAACTTTCGTGGTCTGAGTTTACTACTTTTCCATAAATCGATAGATTTAAGTATTTGTGATTCATTTTATTCATAAGTAGATCTCTTTGTTATCGAATGTGTCTATGCATATTTGATTTGATAATCTATATTATTTTTCACGAAATGTTCAGTATTTGAGCTAAAGAAATGCTTTCTACAGTTGAGAAGCCAATTTGTCGTTATGAAATGATAAAAATATCAGTAAGAAAATAAAATATTTTCACAAAATCTACCGATTAAATAAATTGATGAAGTAACTTTGTGCGTCCGGAAATCTTACGAGTATCACTATTGAGTTATCATTTAGTGATATATAAAACGGATATTATGTATAAGTTGTCCCTTCCTCTTTAAATCACTAGTTTACATAAACTGTTTAAATATTGATATATTTTAAAATCTGTATTCAATTACAGTTTGCTTACAATGAACAGTATGACTAGTTTCTTTCTCGGATTTTCTTTAACCATTTTAGTAATACGTGCCGTCACGGGAACTGGTGAGTAAATAGCATTTTCGATTAGTTTGAAATACTGCTACTTTAAATGAAGATCTTTAGATGACGAATTTAGTGATGGTGATAATGAAAATGACAATAATAATTGGACAAATAAAGGGTTATGAAGTGATTTGACGACAACATCGATGGATGATGATGATTCTGACAAAGTTCTTGATAATTTGGCGATGAACACAATGATATTGAAAGAAAGATGATGGTTATATGATAATGATTTTGAAATTTGTACTGGTGGGGCAGATTTGAGACAATGACAAAATTAAAGATTGTTGTAATGTTGATAATGGTGATAATTGTGTTGGCTGTTGTAACGATAATAACTACGACGATATTGATTGCAATGATATTTTAGATGATGATAGCATTTAAGAATTTTCAATTTAATGAAAATTCTTTCAAAGCCGTGTTATTCGCCAATGTCCGTTTAAAGTTGAAAAGAAAATCTCAAAAGAAATTATCTATGTTTGTTATTTATTTGATACCTACATATAAAAGACACTAACTTCAGGTGTGGTGATTGACTGCTATAGGACAACGGTAGCTAACTACGACGGCCATCAGCAGACGACAGAGACCGGGACACCGTGCATAAGATGGGATTCTAAAGATAATGAGGATTACAAAAATAAACAATTTCGTGACGCTACAGTTTCAGATGCAGCAAACTTTTGTCGTGCTGTTGGAGAGAATGATCTCTGGTGTTGGACAGACAGTGGCGATCGTGGCAGTTGTGGAATTGAAAAATGTGGTAAATTTTAGGCTATAACTGATTTAAAAATAATTGGGTATTATCGAATCAGCAAATTTATAACTTGAAATCCATTACTGTGATAGGTTTATACAGAATTTCTTTTAGATTGCTTTGGGGCGTCCTTGGCCCAGTGATTAAAGTCGTAGACTTCAAATTTATTGTCACTCTTCTCCAAGAATTCTAGCGTAAGGAACGTCGTTGGCTCTATTCTTGTGCATCCTTTGGCCTGAAATAATGCATTCCTTATCCAGTAAAACAGGAATGTTGCTATTTGTTGGTGCGAAGTAAATCCAACCAAGACATGATGTAGGAATCTTCAAGCTTATAGACACATATCCGTTTCTGGAACCAACAAATGCTGGACAATGGTTGTAATATTTTCTTTGACAAATGGGGTTAGAACAGAAGCGGTTAGCGTTCCTAAGGTTTCTAGTTCGACGCGTGCACCACTCAGCCACTCTCAATTATTTGATTTATATAAACGTTATGTACATGATGCTATGTTCGATTATCTTTGAAATGAATTTGCTTTAGCTAAAAAGCTAGTCATGACAAAGTAACATTCCATGTAAGCAAAGCCATCCTTATCCGGGTCCTCTGTAATCTTGAGCATCCGAATAAAATATTGGACTATTTTAAGTTTTCGAGAAAGTCACCGTAAGTCTATTAAATTACGTAAGGCAATTTCAATAGTTCGTAGTGATTCAAATGTGTTCCTTTTCTTTCTTTCTTTCTTTCTTTCTTTCTTTCTTTAAATCTTTCTTTCTTTCTTTCATCTTTCTTTTTTCCTTGGCAACAGGATAAGATTTTGATTTCTTCATTCAATATTTGATAAATTGTATTAAATAAGTATTTATTATAACAGCTAATTTTATTCTGAAATAAATGTTTGATGAACTTTGAGGCTTAACTATTTAAACACATTTACTTTATTTGTTAAATGGAATCTTTATCGAATCTTTATTTGGATTTTTTTCATAAATTTAAAGCCACCACAACAAATGTACACATTGTCTCAAATACAGCGCTTGCTTTTCAAATTAATATATCTAGAAACGTAGGTGCAAGCGTTGTTGTTTGTTGTGTATGCTGCGTATTATAAATATATATATAGGTAAAAAATGAAGATTACAAATAATAGTTTACATCACGTTGTTTAATTCATTCAAATTACGAGTATATATTCGTGCAATGATTACTTACGAAGCATGGTAAAAAGATCCTGGACTAGGTTTATTAATCTTAAAGGTCTTCTTTTACTATTATACTTTGTCACATTAACCGCGGCGCAGGAGTGTTATAAAGCCATTTCATAATCAAAGCACAGAAGGCGCTGAATTTGTTTGGGTCTCAGAATGTAAGACAGGTACAGGTTGTGAGATTATATGTATAGTGCCACCAATGCTTTCCAGCGTTTTAATTGTAGTAAATTGGCTATAAGACTAATTGCAACACTGATATTCAATCCAATGTCGGACAATTTGTTGTTTATCCTAGCAAACTGTCTTCTTACGTCTGTAAGAAGACACTTTTGAAGAAAAACTCGTACTGTATCCATTACATATCATGGCTTCTTCTTTTACAAAGACACTTAAAAAAGAATTAAAAAGAAAAGATTCCTCGTCTGGGATTTGAACTCCAGACCTCTCACTCACTAAGCGAGCGCGTTACCCCTGCACCACGGAGAAGTTATACAAAGAAGAGCTGAATAACATCAAGTCATTCTAAATTTAGAACTTCCATTGCATTTCAGGTTTGTAATCCTTATTAATTTCAAGGTATTTTATTCACGATAAACCTGTTGTTTAAAATTGAAGTAAATAATTTAGCGAAAATCTTCTCACCCAAACAGTCCAACATGTAGAATCTATATATTCCACTACTCGGTTTGTGTAGTATTCGGTAATCGACATTGCTAAAAATAGTATTTTCATTGATAAAATCATATTCATCCGCGTAATTTGTGATTGTGCATTTATTGACAATTCTATAAGCCAACGCTATTTTTAAACTTTGAATGCGTTGTAATTTGTTGGATACTTGTAACAAAATAAAAATATTTCTTTCTTTTAAATCGCTAGTTTTAAGCTGTTTTGAGAACTACTTGTTGTTAGGTTTGTCGTAAACTTCTGTGTCAGAGATTGAATGTCCGCTTTGTATTTACTTATTTTCTATCAGAAAATACAATAAAACAATATTAGAAATCTTCGACCATTCGGGAATTATTTTGCTTGAAAATTAATGCGTCTGTCTTTGACCATCTTTACGCAGTGATCTCCCCTGAATTTTTCGGCCTTAGTGTACATATAAAGGGAAGTAACCGCTTCAAAAAAGTGGACTACTTTCGGCATTTGCAATTAACAGCATTAGACTCTGAAATTTCGCTACCATTATTTGTTTGGTCTGACGACCCAAACAAATAAAAACCATATTTCATTAGTGTAATAACACTAGCGCTACAGTATAGGCGCGTCAATGAAAAATGACGCTGTTTTAACAGCTCACCGTTCTTATTTCAGATGTGATAAACAGAATAATATATTCGTGTAAATTCAATACTTAATTTATTGATCTCGTTGAATAAAACAATATTATGCTCGCCAGACGCTCGCATAATATGATTTTATTGAAAAAACTTATTTCAAAATGTCGAGCTAAAACATAATGAAATTACGAATGATGTTAAACAAACGGTTTCTTAATGCACATCTCAAATTCTTTTACAATCTAAAATATGTTAAGTGTTTCTGTAATATATATACATTGTATACATTTATATATAATTAAAATTATGATACTTTCCAAACATTTATACATATTGTGGCGCGGGGTTTTAAAGGTGGTACTGGGGGAGGTGAGGTTTCTTCTCCATGATATTCTTAAATAAATAATTGTATGTCGTATTTTCTCCGTAGTATAATATTCCGTTAAAGTGTAATAGTTTTTTTTATAAATGTCCACATTTCTATTCTTTCGATGATAATTAAGTACAAACTCAGTCAATCCGTTTTTTCTGTTTTTAATATACTTTCCTTTTTTAATATTTACACCAACAGTTCTGACCGGTCAAAATAACAAATATATATATATATATATATATACATGTACATAAAATGCACCGCAGAAAACCGCGGCACCAACACTTTAAACTTTAACCATTACATGTTTACTGTATAACTGTCTGAATAATTCTATCTCAAAAAGTTCTGAAACTTTTATTAATACAAAAATAATTGTAACAAAGGTTTCAATAATTAACCAATGATAAAAATGACCCTTAAACAGGAAAATATTAACCAATGAAATGCATTTATCAAATATGAAATTATAGATTTGACCCATACAAATGGTTCGATTAAGACTGATTAACACGCCAGATGTCAAATGTCAGTCTTAGATAAAATAAATGACAATAATCACGTTGTCATACATGTGACGTAAATAGACATTAATGTTTCAGACACATAAATTGCAATAAACATGTCAGGGGTCTGGCTAATTGATAATTAACATATTTCTGAATTTCAATAATTTAAAAAAAATTCATAACATAAACAAGAAAATATAATAATTTTACGAAAAGTATTTCGAAAGAATCAAATGAAACAAAAATACAGCATAACATCATACGTTATCACAGTTAACCTGTATTTATGTAAATTTTTCGTTTTCACTTACAGATAATAACGGTATAAGCAAATGTGGAAATCTAAAAATTGAGCAACCAGCTTTACTAGGAAGGAACGTAACGTTTACTTTTACCCCGGACTCACATGATCCAAATGCAATTCTGGATTGGCAACGTGCAGATATAACCAATGGAAACCCATGGTATACTCGTCCTTTGACATACAAGTTCACACAGTATAATGCAAACGGAACATACTACATGGTCTTAACAGACAGTTTACTTAAAGATGACGTAAATTACCGGATTCATTATTACAACGAAAGCGCGCACTGTTGGATGGAAGCAGGGAAACTTGGACTTGATGGTATGTTATTTTAACATAAAAGATATGGCCCATCGGTCTTAGCCATACAATGACTACAAATATGATTTTGATAATCTTATCATAATGATATTCTTATCATAATGGGTTATAAAATATATATAAAAAAACGTCGTTCTTACTTCTCAGCTTCGAAGGGCGTTGGCACATTATTTAAAACTGCCTTATAATCCAAAGACTGAGAAATAAGTATACAATATTTATCAATAGGAATATAAAGCCATATTTACAAAAAGGTTTGCAGCATTTCGTCAAAGATACTGCGATACTTAGGTATATCTGTTTGTTTGTTTCATTTTACGCATTTTCCCAACAGTATTTCAGTCTTATAGGCAGCTACTTTCCTAACCATCGTTCCTGGAGAGTTACACCAGTACTAGACTACCTTCCTCCGTGCTAAACTACCAAAGCATCTTCCGGGGATCGAACCCACGTTTGAGAGGTTAGTGGATTAGAAGTCATCGACACTAACCCCTCGACCACGGAGGCGGTCACTTAGGTATATAGATTTGAAGACAAAAGAATATGTAATAGTGATACCTCTGGATGCTGATCCTCTATATATTTGCAGTCAACAGGAAGAATCAAACTAGTATCACTAAAAGTGTTCTTAACAAATCCCATGTTTTTTTCAGATAGCCCAAATAATTCATGTGGATTTGTTTATCTTAGAAATGAACGTGTATTGGAGGACGAGAATGTATATTTAGAATATTATCCGTCTAAAGATGTAATGGAACGCCCTGATAATTTTATGCGCCAGTGGGTTCGATTTAAAGATGGAATTAAGTCTGGTATTAAGGTTGGACCTGATGATATTTACATTGAAAATAATGATGAAAATAGGATATATACATTGACTTTTTCTATGGCTAACAGTCGCATGAACGGACATTACGGAGTGGAATGTCGTAGAGAAACGGGATTAACAAATACTATTTCAGTGGTTGTACAATGTAAAAATAAAACAGGCATCATTATAATGAAATTGTTGAAATAATTTACGATGCTAATCAAAATGTGTAAGCTGGTTTTATAGTAAAAAAACGTATTGATGTTGTTTTTATACAGGTATTTCATATTAATAGCAGTACGCTATTATAATGCTGAAGAGCTGAATGTATTTTTAAAATAGTAAAGATTTCAAAGTTAATTGGTATTTGAGTTTAATAGCAAAAACAAAAAATGAAAACTTTATTATTAATAAGTTGGTCAGAAATTTTACAATTTATGTTTTTTAATGTTTTACACAATTTTGACACATACATTTTACCCGTGCCGCCTTTTCAACATCGTAAAACGATAAAGTATAAGATTATTTTTGTCTGCATAAGTACCAAATGTGGAAATTGACATTATCATTTTAATGCGACTGGGAATAAGCGGACGGGATGTTGTGGGAAGATCGATAGTTGGAATGGCGTGCACTTTGAGAATAAGAGTGTCTTCCATTTTGCATGTATCATGTATGCACAAATCCGGCCAGTATAAAAGCCATAGTATATTATGGACGTTGCTAACATAATAACATCACTTTACGGTAAAATACTTTAGGTAAAACATAAAATATCATTTAAAGGGTATCTTAATACATTATTTGCATTTTGTATCTAATTGTTTATTTCATATATTTTACTTAAATGAATCCCAAAAGGTGATTTGGTGCTTCGTGGTATTTTACCCTCACAATGTTTTCTCTTTTATGTATTACTATTACAATGTTGAATGACACAACCTATATTTATTATTGGCTGATAATTTGTGTTGTCCAATACATACAGGATATTAAAATTTCTTCTATAAATACAGGATTTATTTTCATCGGGTGGTATGAAAATAAATATTTCACCAGTGGCAGTAGCAACGAGTGAAATGTGTTAATTTTCATACCACAAGTTGAAAATAAATCTTGTATTTATGGAAAAAACTTGAATTTTCTGTTTATTATATACTTTTTTTCCTCATTTAGCCTATGAATAGGAAGAGTTATCTTTTAATTTTGTTTATTAGCTGAATTTAGAAGAAAGTAGTCCGGCAAGACACCAGTGAAAATACCAGTGAAAAATAAAATTTTTACAGTGAAATTTACGGAAAATAAGAAAACGCATTTTATTTCATCAATATTTCTCAATATTATATTCATAAGTATAAAATAAATTAATTGACCACATAAACCGCGGCGCAGGAGTGTAATAAAGCCATTAAATAAAGAGTGAGACTAAAAAAAGGATTGGAGCACCACACTAAATACCGTATTCCGGTATATACCGGACACGGCGCTTGAATGATAAAATGCTAAAATCTTGCCTTTTTACCCAACGGAATGAACTTTAAAAGGTCTAATTCATCTTTTCACACCGATTTATGTATGATAATGAATGAAAAATTTGAAAAATCGGCGAAAAAAACGATATTTGTCTATTTTCTGATAATGATTTCTGCAAGCGTCTAGAGGTACTGCTCCAATCCTGTATTGAGTTAAATCCTTAAATAAAACCGATATCACACTAGTGTTATAACACTTTGACGTGACGTCATTTGTGCCATATATAGAGGATATTGAATGAGTTTAAGTTCAATACTGAATTTATTGCACGAGTTGAATAAAATTATATTATGCGAGCATCTGGCGAGCATAATATTATTTTATTCAACGAGTGCAATAAATTCAGTAATGAACTTACACGAATTTAATATTCTTTTTATCACATACTCAAAATAAAGACCGTTTAAAGTGAAATAAGAGTCATTTTCCGTTGATGCGCCAACAGTAGAACGCTAACTTTTAGCGCGTCTTTACACTATGTTTGCATAACGCTAATGACGTCACGTCAAAATATATGCACGGCCGTGCAATACCATATTTACGGAGTCGCAAAATCGGCACGGGTGTTCAATACTAAATTTATTGAACTCGTTGAATAAAACAATGTTATGCTCGCCAGAGGCTCGCATAATATGACTGTATTCAACTTGTTAATAAAGTTAGTATTAAACTACACTCATTCAATATCCTCTATATAGAACATGTATAAAAAGTGTTTTTGTTTTGTTTCAGTGCCACCAAGCAACCCGGAATTTGTAGGTTTGCAGGACATTGATAAATGTAAGAAATGCATTGTTGGTTCTGATAAAGAGAATATTCAAGTCCATTGCAAGACAAGTGGCGGAACACCACCCGTTGCTGCAACTGTAACAGTAGGAGACAAGTCATTCAAAGCATTGCATTATGATGTTGATAGATCGGTTTATATAGCATTTATCACACTTGCTGACAGTTACCACAATACAACAATCACGTGTTCAGTAGTATATAATGCGTTAACATCACCACTTATCACTACTGCAAAAGTGTATGTTATAAGTAAGTTATATTTTATCTTAGGCATTAACAAACTGAAAATTGCTTATAATATTTTAATCATATATATTTATTTTGCCTAAATATTGAAATGTTTTAGGAAAAGTGCATTTTGATAAAGATGTTACAATAAAATAAAGCTATGTCACATTAATTTATAGTATTTGCGTTTAATAAGGATGATATATTATTTATACGTGTAATGTTGTTTTTTTTTTTTTGCGTTGACAGCCATTCAAAATTTGTTCAAAGTTCAGCCAATTTATTTAAATTGCGACATGATAAACACTTTTTTCCAACATAAATATTTACAAAATAGACAAAGACGTAATTTCAAAGAACATCATTAAGTGACTTATAGGACATTTAGTAATCAGAAACATTAGCAATAACATCAAGAAAATTGCAGCCCCTCCGAATACAAATTTTAATAAAAATCTTTCACAAAAATCTCCTTATAGGTTTACATTTCTTGTTTACAAATACTAAACATATTTTTGGTGTTTCTTTTGTTTTCATTTTTTTTACTATTTGTTATTCAAACATTTTTGCGAACAAATTAAATGAGGTCAACTCAGCTCAAATGCCTAAATACAGGTAATTTGAAATTCAAACATAGATCAAGTAAAGCATTTAGACTGGAAAAATGCAAATGAAAATAACAAAATTTACTTAGAATTAAATTATCTATCGATTTTTTGTGCGATTCTTACGGATAGAAACGATGCAACCCTTTTCATCTTCTGGGTCATTTTGAAAAAAAAAAATTTAAATCAGTCATGTCAATAAAAATGCTCAATGTAACCATTTAAGTATAAAAACTGTTAATATATATATTTACCGACTATCAATGTAACAAGAACACACAGTTCAATAAACACGAAATTAAAGATATGTTGGCACATGCCAAAAATGCAACGAAACAGAACCTTCCACCAACACCATAAATAGTGCCTAAATGCATACTTAAGATATGTAGAATTCGCTAAATTCTTTGAATTCTTTTTTGAAATTTACTCATAGTTCGATCAGTATAGAAAACAATAATTATGTTCACATTTTTGTTAATGCTGAAATGTGTAAACTAAAATATTTTATGAAAACAATAATGACATTAAACTTGTATTACAAGAGGTTTTATCTGTTATAAAAACATGTTGATTTTTGCATTAGTCTGTGCTAGCGGGCGCTGACTGTAACATGCAATTACCAAGACTGCTCATTAACAGAGTCAGTTAAATTAAGCCAGTCAGCAATATTTTCATTTTTTTCTGTTTTCGTGCGTTCTTTCGTAGATCTGTTTTTTCTCTTTTTTATAACGATATTCATTTTTCATCTTTATTTTAAAAATCAGAATATCGGTTGAATATATATATAAATTATACTTAAAAATCTTTCTTTATTTAACAGAGCCTCCTGCTATTGTTAAACTATCAGCACCAAAGAATCTTAAAGAAGGCAGTCCTGTTCACATCACTTGCCTGAGTCAAAGCTCAAGACCTTCTCCGGAGGTTTACTTAAACATTTCCGGTATTAAAGTGTCGTCTGCTGACGTAGATACGAGGACTACATTCCAAAATGTCACTTGGTTATACAACAACACTATTACCTTGACAACATTTAAACGGGAATGGAACGGAAAGAACATCGTCTGCTGTAGTTATAATAAATGGTACAATACACCTAGATACTGTTCCGAAGCGAAACAAGTTAACTTTACGTGTAAGTGTTTTTCAAGCCTTATTTAGTATTTAGAAGAAACTTATTTCAATGTTTTATTCATTTTGAAGATCTTTAGATATAAAAAGAAATGAAAAGGTTCAATTTAAGCGGACTTTGTATGATGAATTAGTGCCTGAAAACAAACTTGTAAAAACCATATTATGTATTACAATTATGAATGCCAGCTGATGGATGGCAAAATTTGCCTGCAGATATCATAACATTGTAGGCTCTGACTCATCAAAATAATTCAGTGAACATTAGTCCAAACGAGGGAAACCTGCTCTTCAGTTATTTCATGTCACATAGAAAAGTTGGAATGATACTTTTATTTCTTATATAAATGAAGAGCATAACAATATTTATAGAGTAACAATAAAAGTATAATACAATCTAAATGGTTTCCAATAACGTAGCAAAAATATATGAAAACAGAAACAAAAACCATATGTAGTGATATCTCATTTGCTTGTTTATATAAATTATATGATTCGGTTTTTCATTCTATGGTTAAAGTAAATTCACATATGTCCTTTTATTTATCTATCTTTTATCTCACAACAAAAATGTATAATTATCTACTACACAAACTTTTCTATCTCCTCAAAAGTTTGTGTAGTAGATAATTATTAATTAACTGTTTCCAGATTGAATTAAAAAAAATGTAAAAGAAAAAAATGACAACTGATTATATTAAGCATTTTCACTTTATAAAGCTTTAACGAAATCAAAACTCGGAAACACATCTTATTGATTTCTTAAAAAATAATCAAGCGGAATAGGCAAATAGTGCGGAATATAAGTGACATCAACAAAGTTAAACCCATATAATCTATAAGCATGTTCCAAAAATTGACACGTTCTCTGGTATTTCTGATACACAAACAGATCTGATGTAGAATAATATTTTCTGTATATAGTTTATATTTTGTTCATTGACGGTCATATTGTCGTGATATCAATAAAGCAATGTGTCTTGAGAGTTTCCTGCAAATATGCGATAGAGAAGGAGTGTTCCTGCTCACGAACCACAGACTCGAATATGGGTTTACACGAATAAGGTTATGACAAACCCACAAATGTCCAGCTGAAGCAAAACTATCTATTTGGCATTGGCTATTAGACTTAAAATATGATAATATCAACAAGGAAAGGCGGCATTCATTGAACGCAACCCCCAACACGACCCAGCAACAAGAAACAGCGACAGGGAGCCAAGGAAGGCCCCAAACAAAAACAGGACAGGGCGCAAGACAGATCACAGCACTGCTTTGACGAGAGTGTCTTTTAACTGCCCTTTTCCCGGAAAAAAACTCGATTGTTAGTAATTGTACATTACACCAGTCAGAAAATATTTGCAGAGGATCCTATATATATCAGGAATGAATCCAATTTCGGGATATCCATTATAATATCTAGTTTAATGATAATTGAATATTTCTTTCGGTAAAAATCTGCCGCAAAATTGCTAAAAAACTGCAATTTCTTATACTCCTATCGGACACTCGTAATATTAGGACAACTACGAGTATAGTTTGAAGATGCGTTTCTTGGATGCGTTTCTTGGAAGCTGTTACATATGTTTAAAACACACGTTTTAGCAGTCTCTAGTAAACGGGTATCGTTTTTATAATAGAAGCTCCATAATTTACAACCATCAATGATCTGGGTAACACAGTATACTTTTACTTAAAGTAACAGGGCTGATAGAACCCACAGCAAGACTTCCGGTTATGCTTAAGTACGTTTTCTTCATTGTTGAACATGCCTTTTCAATGTTAGGTTAAGTAGACAAAATCTTTTCAATGATTACACCTAAATGACAGTAGATTTCGGTTTCAGAATTAATGTACGGTCCTTACTTAATCGTCTGCAATGTATCAATTTGTGTTGTTCAATCATCACGACAACTTTACATTTTTCTGCATTATAATAGTATCTCCATTTCTTTGAATAGTCCCACCATGTACTGAAAATTTTGCCAAAACCAGTTTAAAATAACGAAACAAGTACCATGTGGTATGCTGCTACAGTTGGGGAACACACATTGAAATTAAAAGTGCACATTCCTTCTCCCCTAGCCACTAGTTCTTCAATTAATCCATTGATATAGACAAGATACATCAATGGCGAACTCTTGCTGCCTTGTATTGTACCTTGTAACAGATATCAGTCCTTGACAATGAACGTGATATTCTGAACCAACATACAACGAATGTAGAGATGCAAATGCCGTGTAGTCAACACCACACTTAAGAAATTTTGAAACAGTCCGTTATGCCAAACATGGTCAAAAGCCAGTTTTCCTTTTAAGTAGCACACATACTTTCGATGAAGTGGATGCATTCTCGAAACATAAAAGAAGTCATTAAACATCCAAGACCCGCTGAAAACCACACATATGTCTCGCTAACTTGTTTATTAAATCTTCGGCACATCCATTCAAGAGCATTCGATAGCATTCTCTACACAAGCAGACGTAAAATGTGCCCTTTGATCAGTTCTACATGACGTCATCACTTCGTCAACTGTGATATTAACAAAGTATTTCTAATTATTATCAATGTAATCGTAATCAGAACATTTATAAAGATTTTTAAAGTATAATTTCCATTGTTCAACAAGATTTTCACGACTTCTATATATTTCGCCATTAAATTTTATACCTGCACCGGATGTTGTTCCTGTGGCTTTTCGAAAATTTACTTCTTTCCAAAATTCCATAGAATCAGTCTCTGCATCACATTCCAATTTCAAATCCAGTACTGCAATATATTTTTGCTCTTTAAGTGTAGTACGACCACGTGGTCTTCCTGTGCTGCATCACGTTGCACGTGCATTCAATATATTTTTATGTAATTTATTAAGTTCTGGGGACCAGTTTTGTTTCAAATATAATCTGAAACACTTGTTTGGAAATACACAGTTGGTATGATTTTATGTCTATGTACTCCGTAGACATATCAGAATTGAATATATGTTGTAATTGAACGTCGGAGAACAGCGATTGATATTTAAGCTTCATTTAATCTGTACATTTTTTCCAATTTATTCTGACAGATTCTGTTTGAGGCTCGCACGTGTTTATTTGTAATTTTAAACATAATAATATTGGTCTATGTCTAGAAAAAATTTCAACAAGAATCAACAGCTATATATCACAGTTATAAACAAAATCAGTACAATCAGACGGAATGCACACATAATCAATCATTGAGGTATATTGTCCGTCATAAGATACAAATGTATTGTCTTTACCGGTAAAATCATTTACAGCAGTCAAATTACAGTCATGTAGAAAGTTTCTTAACAAATTATCTCATATTTGAGAGTATGTATCGAGCATTAAAATCTCCCATAAAGACCGTTAAGCCTTTCTCACCATGCAGGTAAACTATTTCAAACATCTTATTAATGCACTAACGATAATTTTCAATGTTATGATTAAAACAAGTGAGGTAAACCTGAAATATAAATATATACTGTTCCGGTGAATACTCAAACATTATACCTACTATACGAGGCACAACCACGCTACTGAATGTTTTACGCCAGAAAATTTCTAAGGATGATCCAGTCCGGAATTAGCTGTTTCAGATTGTTTATTTGTTTCAAACCGAGGTTTTAGTCGCTGCCGTCGATTAAATTCTCGTAGCCTAAGAGATATGTCTTGTGTTTCGCGCCGTTGGTTTAATTTAACTGGCTGTGATACACAAGGCATGCATGCTACATAATGTGGCCAAAAACCTTTATTGAGAACCATGTCAGCATTACTGTCGACATGGATATTGGGTTCAATTCTCACTTTTGAAGTGTTTCGTCGGATGAGAAACACACGCACACTTGACACTTTTGGACTTTTAGAGTTAACAACTGACATTAATATGTCTACATTAACCTTTTCACTTAACCCAAGAACACATAATCGATTTGGCCTTCTCCGTTGTCTGACGATAAAGCCAACGTCATCAATTTGCTCTTTTTTATGCGCAGATCGTGAAAATATATGTACAGGGATTTGTTGTCCAACTGATTTTTTCAACGAGTGTTAAAGAAGAGGCTGCCGAAGAGGCACTGTTTCCGTCAATTTTAGACGATTGTTTCTGTAGATTGTCATCGGAATGTGAGTTTGGATTAGTGAAGGATGAGGGAATATTGTCCTCTGCATTATCTGTGACGTCATCAAATACAATGTTCTCATCATGTAATATGAAATTCTCGTCGTAGAATGTGTCTTTACTTAAACTTTGTAACCATCTCTTCTGTTTCTCAAAAACTCTCCAGATTTCTGATTTTGTCTTCTTATTCTAGTATGCGTTGCATCAATGATGACGTCAAACTTCTCATCGTTATGTTCAGTGCCTAAATGGCAATATTAATTTTGTGATTGCTCTTCATAATGTCTTCCGTATATTACTGACAGTCGAATTTACACATTTAGTCTGTTCTGAAGGTAATCTCTCATTTGGTACGATTGCTTTAAACACAAAATCTCCGCCTCAATGCTAGATGCCATATCTTTTACAAATGTAAGTTCATTTTTACAGGAGCATGAATAAAATGTACTGACTGAAATATTGTTTACTCTCTTTAGGTATCGCTGCTACTAATGATTTACGGGACTTTCAATAACTGATAACTTGCTTGAAATTAATAGGGTCGCCTCCCTGTACAATTTAACAAATAGTGTTTCATATACACAGGCATGTCTCAAGTTGATGAAATAAAAAAAAGAGTTGTTTCAGAAACGGTCAGATTTGTCCTATATATCATTGCTTTATCATGATCGTTAATATTCGATAAGGATTCAACATGTGTGCTAAGAAGAAGGACGTTTGTCATCAAATTTAAGAAATATAATCTATAAGATAATTATGATAAACAATATCAACAAGGAAAGGCGGCATTCAATGAACGCAACCCCCACCCGACCCAGCAACAAGAGTCAGCGGCAAGGAGCCCAGGCGGACCCCGAACAAAAACAGGACGGGGCACAAGGCAGAGCACGGGCAGGCCAACCACCAAAATCACAAACAACAAGTAACTGATAAAGAACTTGTTAAACTACCTATTTGTCACTCATTTCACAAGCACAAGTAAAGAAATAAAAACTGAAAAGATCTATGAATCATTTTTCTTATTCTTAATTGGATTTTTCGTCGCATGTGTAACTCAAATATTTGCAATGCCTCAGTCCAAGTCGATGAAATTAATATAAGCAGCAATAGGGAAAAATTACATATTCTAAATTCACTTATTTTTCGAAATTTCATGATCTGTACCTTTAGATGATTAAACAAGTAAAAATGAAGATCTTTCTATCACTTTAGGTAAAAGCACACACATAATCCTGCCCTCATTTAAAAGATATACGGTTCCCTTTATTTGTTGTCAGTTAATGTTAACTTATTTTCATTGTACAGGGAACCAAAGACAAATGTCCGAAATGTCCAACAACGGAAATGGAACACTTATTGGAGTCATTGTCGGAATATGTTCAGCGTTGGTTGTAATAATTCTTGTCATGGTAATTGCCATCAGGAAAAAAAGAAACAACGATCAAGGTAATCTAGAATCAATTGCTATAAATTTATAGCATGATATTTTCATTTAATTGAATAAGTGAATATTTCATATGTAATTGCATATATAACGCTTATTTGCTGAGAGACTTAATATTTCTTTTAGTTTATATCATTATGCTATTTAGAAAATGTGAATGATAAATAATAAAATGTAAAATCAATAATGAAATCCACTTCTTTCTATTGCACTTCGTGCATTATTTGCTATGTGTGCCATGCTTAGAGCAATAAAAATTTGAATAGAATTTTTATTGATTACAAAATAAATGTTTTATCTGCTTCAACCGTTTTCACCATTACCGACACTATATACATGTATATATTATAAAATAATAATTATAAATTCCAAATGAATCAGTGTCTACAAATAAATCAGTGTCAAAATTTCTTTTCAGCACAGCATAAAAAAGATCAGCCAAGTCGAGAAAGAAACAGTCTTCCTCCGCGGTTTGTTGATCTTATTACATATACTAATTACCAAAGTATTTCTCTCAAAGGTTTTTTTAAAGGAGATATTCTCCATTCACTCTGTTGTCAAAAGTACTTAATATTTAGCAAATAATAAATTTCGAAAATATTACACAATATGCAATAAAGTTTGTACAAATAAACAATACTTGATATTGAAATGATATTCCATATTTATAAATGATAACAAATCGATAATAAATGAATATATAAAAATAAATAAATAAATAAATAAATAAATATTGACGATTATGATGATGCTGCCAGTTGTTGTAGTGGGGATGGTGATATGATGATGGTGATAAAATTGATTATGAATAATAATAATAATCATTATTTTTCTAAAATGTGAATTTCGACACATATCTCAATGCTTAGCAAGTATGTTTAGCAATTGTGCAAGTATTTCAATAATTATAAATGAGACAGGTATTCCAGCCTGTATCAGAATACTTAGAAATTAGGTAAATATTTCTGTTGGTATCTTAATACTTAGAAATAAGGAACGTATTTCAGTTTGTATCTTAATACTTAGAAATAAGGAACGTATTTTAGTTTTATCTTAATACTTAGGAATTTGGAAAGTATTTCAGTTTGTTTCTTAATATTTAGAAATAAGGAACGCATTTCAGTTTTTATCTTACTTAAGTATTTCAGTTTGTTTCTTAATATTTAGAAATAAGGAACGTATTTCAGTTTGTATCTACATACTTAGCAATTAAGCAAGTACCTTGCCTATATCACTATTATTTTAGCCGATGCCATGAAACTTAACAAACATTAACATTATCATCGCATTTGAAAATTCAGAGAAAATGAACATGTTGCACCAGGAAAGGATGTCGCCCTTGCAGACAATCAGTGCGACGTTACATATTCTCATCCAGTCAAGAAGAATAAGGTGGCCACAGTGTGTGACGAAACATATGCTGAAGTAGATAAAACAAGAGATAGAGACCAACAAGCTAAATGTTCAGTTGCTGAGGGACATGTATGACAATTTATTCTTTTTCGGATATAATATTTATGCATTATAATGGCGTCAATTCCTTTTTTTAAACATAATATAAATAAACATCAATTCATATTTTGGTACATAATATAAATACATATAAAGTAAAAGGCATTAATTCCTGTTTTCTAATAAATCATAAATAACCTTAAAGTAACTGACATCCATTCCTATTTTTGAACACAATATGAATTAACATCAATTTATGTTTGAAACATAACATTAATTAATGTTCCTGTTTTTTTAAATATATTATAATTAACCTAAAGGTAATATTTATAAATAACCTAAAGGTAACAAACAACAACACAATATGACTTAGCATCAATTTATATTTGGAACATATAAAGAAAAAGACATCTATACTTTGAAGCATTACATAAATAAACACAAATTTGAAGTAACTGGCACCAGGTCATGTTTTAAAACATTATAGAAATAAGCATCAGTTCATGTTATCAAGCATAAAAACAATAAACATTGAATCAACAAATAAGGCATCAATGCATGTGTTGAAGCACACATAAACATAAATACAAATATGAAAAGGAAATAAATTAAATTCTTACACATGATGTCATTGCAAAATGATCAAAATATTTTTATTGTTGAAGGTTATTTATAAATGCTAGTATTTGTATTATGCAATTTTAATGACAAAAAATTGATTAGCATTTTATCCAAGGAGCTATAATTTTCCTTAAGGAATGTTTATTTAGAAACTTTTAATCATAATATAAAAGTTTTTATACATAGGAGTTGAAAATCAAAAGACACTAATAAATGTATGCTTATAATACAAATTGGTTGTTCATATTCCTGAAATCCATTTATATTTGTGCCGACAAAGGCTAACACTTTAATGTACCACAAAATGTAGTCACGTATTTAATGACTACCTCATTTGTCATAAGGTATTGCAAATAACGGAAGAAAAAGCTTGAAACACATGCTTATGATATGTTTTATAATTCAACATTTAACTTTGCATTTCTAACTTGATAAAATTCCTTCCAATGTTATACGTTTTCTTGGTAATGAATAAGGATTATACACTGTTAACTATGGTGACTGAATTCTGTCATGTCGTTACTTTGTTCTGTCGTTGTTGGTGAAGGACGAAATAGCGTCAATAAACGACACAAATATAATTTTTCGATTTATAGCACAGTTTTTATCGTTTGGTCTTACTTCGTGTCGGCGCCCTTCAAGCGCGACATCACGACAAAACGATTCTAATGCGACAACACGAAATTTTTGGGTTTTTTCTTTAATGTTGTCGCCCCTTCAAACGCGACAGAACGAAGTAACAACACGGCAGAAATCAGCCACCATAGTTAGCACTAAATATACTTTAAGTTTTATTTAATTTACCCTACGGTTGACTATTTTCAATATCTCATATTCATTGCAAAAAGCTCTAACGTTTTTTTTTACAATTTAAATATTGTATGCCATTTTTTAAAGTATTGAATAACTCTGTTTTTCCCCAAAGCTGAAGAATGTACTGTTCCTATCTGAAGCATTATTTGATATTAATTCCAGAAACTGAAACACATCAATTAAGTTTTGAACGGGTTTTATACTTTTATCTATTGTACCACTATTGTATAGTTTATAGAAACAAATGTTAAGATATAACATTATTTTGAGCGAATATATATTAACAAAGTATCGATAATGAACCATCCGAATTATTGTTCATTTTCATGTTATAGATTGTCTCAGAAGCTTGACAATTTCATATTGAGTTAATTAGTTTATTGACTAATATATTAATGTATTAAAATCATTCAGCGCTCCGAAGATGGACAGCTTATGTATGTTGATCTCGAGTTCAATGCAGATGGAAAGATGCAGAATGAAGCTATTGTCAAACGGCGTGATTCCCCAACTGAATACGTTGGTATAGATTTCGCCAAGACTGCAGCTGATGTTGCCGAAGAAAATGACACGACAGAAATGGACATTATCTATATTAATCAGTAAAATAAAACAACAATAAGTACATCGTACCGTTTCATTTGATCGTAGCGTCATGTGCAATCACAGACACGTATGCTTATCCGCCCTTTAATATAAAAACATCTTAAGTAAATACTATTCTAACATAATTCATAATAAAAGGAAGTGTGAAAAATGAATTTGGCCATGAAGTAAACTGTTAACAAAAGAGAATTAGGAAGAGTGCTCACATTATTCTAATATTAATTGAAGTGTCTGTGCCTGTAATATCTTTTAAAAGAAAATTGTACATCTTTTTTTTGTTTGTTTTTTTGTTTCTCCATGTTACGTACGTTAAATGTAAATTTGGATGAATTTCAAACAAGACTAAAGATAACTTGAAGTCCTCATAATCATGTTTATATCGTTATTCTTCTAGTTTGAGTTAAACAGCTAAACCGGAACGTTCTATTTATAATCCTACAATGTTAGGACAGTTTATTTGTCGTGTATTTGTAACAATTAAATGAGACCTGTTATAAACACAATATAATTATAAATGATAAGTATATTTACATTTGTGCGTTTGATTCTATGATTGAATTTTTTCGTTAATAGTTGTTTGTTTTGTGTTGATAAAATTGCAATGGTACATTATTTACAATTCTCATTTTTTATATTTATCAACTTTCATACTGTTAAAGAGAAGAAAGTGATATCATTTTATATATCTATTATACATAATATATTATAAATTTTCGTATTCATTTTTTTCATTCTGTTTGTCATTTAAGAGTAACATCAGTTTTAACCAATCTCCCCATTAATGAAAAAGCGATACATTCAAATGTGAAAATGTGTATTTGTTATAACTGTAATCATAGACACTTGGATAGTGGACCCGAACCTTAGACGCCCCTGAAAATTAAAAAAACTAAAGGGGTTTTTTTTATTTATTTTACTGTTTTGCAAATACCGGAGATTAATGTTAATGTACATATAAGTGAGTATGACATGGTTTATTAAATTGCACGCATACAAATTTTTAACAGAATGTCAGGTAAATAGGCAAACAATATCTATAATGTAGGGTTTGGAAGTTAAGGCCCATAATGCCACAGAAATGATTTCATTTTAATTTCTAAAAAGTTTTGATTTTGGAATACATTTAAGAGTTTCCTAAAAGTTACTCATTTGCCAATAACCTGATCCGTCGTTCTCTTCTGTTAACTTTGTAACATTTTATTTCATAGTAAGTAGAGTAATAGTGATTAAGTATTTTGTATTGTAGTCAAAATACGACGCTCTGAAACCCTTTTTTAAACGTTATAAAGTTTTAAGTCATAAAGTGCTTTCTAAAAAAGGTTATATTCATTATCTTCTGATGCATTGTGTGCTTTTTATGTAGCCATGAAGTTAACAATGGCCAGAACAGGATACGACAGTCGCATTACCTCTTGAAACTCCAAGTGTCAGTGACTATCTTATCTTATTAATGAAAATTTTGTAATATGTTTATTAAATTTTGTTTTCACGTCCTTTTTTGTAACTTTTATCGGACTGATTTCAAGCTAGAATAAAGATACGTTTCAGTCAATCATATTAATATCTTTATTTACTTTTAAAAAATAAAAACCTAAATTCGTCACTTCTACAACAGAATTAATGGGTGCCGCATGGTTTATTACAGTGTTTTATCGTGCTTTAAGCATGTACTGGCAACAATAAAATTTATTTTGTTTTAAAATCAAAACATTTATTTACTAAAAGGTTTTTTTATATTAACATATTGTATGTTTATTTTTTTCTTTTGATTGTTGTTTGTTTCGTTATGATATTATTGTAATTGTACATTGTTTACTAGACTATTCTCATTTTTTTTGTACTTCAAGTTTCATATCTTACCTGAAATATAAATGTTATAACATATCTATCTTTCCTTCTTTTATTCTGTCTTACATTTAGTAGTAATGCACAAAGTAGGTAGCACCCCAATCATGAAGCATATGTCACACTTTAACTTTGAGACCATTAAAACGCCGATATATTAACACACACGGGGAGGGGTAGGATGAAAATATTTTCATTTACTGGACTTGATCCGACTATATACCACGTTCTCTTTCGTTTAAAGTTGTTTCTACAAGACCAACAGGGAAACCCAAAGTACCTTTTTGTCGACTTCCAGCTTATTGGATGAAGGCAAAACGTAACTCTTCGGTATAGAAACGAAGTACTTCTGAGGTACTTCTGGTTGCAGAATTCTATGACCATGCAATGACATCGTTAGGCGATTGTTGGCGTCCGCGCCGAAGCGCGGTGCATCTTTTGGAATGAAATCAGATTTTGTGTAAGGGCGACAGCAAATTCTCGAGTCTTTAAGTCGGTCATAATAAAAGCCGATCATTCCGATCGGTATGAGGGTGCTTGATTATTAATTAAAAATGAAATGTCGCGATATATACAATGAATAGCGAACTGGAGAATTTCGCAATGCAAACATTTTAAAATGAAATAACCTTTTCCGTCAATAAATCGCGCTCTTCGGTGTATTTTTATTTATCATTTTGAAGTACACAGTGGGTTATTATGGTATGTTATTGTTGTACATGTATCCGAGAGCTGAATAGAATGATGAGTTGATGACCTAAATATTCCGAAAATCTATTTATAGAGGGATGTACTCCAATTCGTAATTCCCGGTCATTTTGACCGGGATTTACTAGTGACCGACGAAAAGTACCACACGTTTTTTGTCCGGTCTCTCCCGGTTTTGGAGTAGATGGTTGATATCGTTACAGAACAGAACAAATATTTTACAGATATTTCAAAATGAATGTTTGTCACTTAGTTTGGTTACAATAATTAATAAACACAGATCAACTCTCAAATTTATTAATTATTATTATACATAAACATACAATTCGGAAAAAAAACAACAACAACAATAGCATGTTTTATTTTATCTATATGATATAAAAACAATAAATATGTACAATAATTGAGAAAAAGGTACATTTTTATGGTATTAATATGACACTATGAACTTTGAAACATTTTATTTAATTTGTTATTCGTGTTTAGTAAAGATGCCGAGGAATTATTCAAAGTTACAAATTAGATTTTATGAACTATTCAATTGATTGATAATTTAAAAAATGATAAAGAAAAATACAAATGTACATGTATATGGTTTAAGAATAAACAATATTATATATTGAAAGATTAACCATAATTAACTGACTTTTTCCAGTTAAGTTTTGACTTATAAACGTCGGTCAATATGACAATTGAATTCTTAAGCATCAATGCTTTTCTTGTCAAATACTGGGATATGAAATTCATTTTTCGTGAATTGCCAAAATTGTAAAGTCCGTTACAAGACAGACCATTATCAGTCTATTTGCAATCAACTAATACTTGATCCGTTGGTTCAATTCTTAGTTTACTGAAAAATGCATGATGCTTTGGAATAGACATAAACCAATTCTTAAAATTGATGATAACAGGTATATCCCAGGCCACAGGAAATGCATACAGGACAATGAAGCGCAATAGCACAAAATTTATTTAACGAACATGCCAAAATATCCTTACAAGACATTTATAAAACAACAGCTATTGTATTATATCTGCCTTATCACTAAAACAGACAGAGAAATACATCAAATATAATTGATACACAAGAGTGTACTAACATAAGTCAGACGCACACTTGACACACATCTGGTTAGAAGAACACACTAGAGATGAACAGTCTGGTGTAATTGCTACGAGAATTTTGTACATATTGATGAACACGTCAATGTTCTACAGGACTTTTAATCTTGTAGCCATACTTCCTGTCAATATCTGTGATTCACGTTAAGCCCTTTTCCTTGTTACCCTCCCCCTCCAAATAAATATAAAATTGTAACCCTGCCTGCTAGTGAATCATCCGAGCTGGCAGTGCCCCGCTATTCTAGTTCCAAGTACTCGTGTTAACCTTTGTTTATGGCATTGATCTTGTTCAGAACCGCAGTTTTATGTAATAGTGATTCTTTGATACTTTATAAAGTCATCCAATCTAACCTAAAAATAATAACTTAAATGTTATATGATTTTTAAACATCAATTCAAAATCACCTATTATACCATATTTCAAAAATGATAAATATAGTCATCAACAGCGTGCAGTGATTTGAACAATGAGGGTATTTTCAAATTGATGAAATGATAATATTTATTGTTTTTGTTTTTTTGTTTATAAGACCTTGGAATTGAAATTGCTTAAATTAGCCATTATATTGGTATTAGTTGCAGCTTTGATTTATCTTTTTGCAAAACTACACTTGTGGAAAAACATAATTTTGTTAAATCAAATAAAGCATTGGCGTTAAAATGACCTTAACCAACGAGGTTTCTTAAAATTCTCATAATGTTTAGGTTTTGATTTTGTGTTTGATATTTATTGACATAATCTATTATGTGTTTAATATGACCAAGAACTCTAAAGTTAAATTATCGAATTCTGCTTACTTTTAGTAATTTTTTAATTTGTCTAAAAATGACCCTTACGAAAATACCGACTTGATTAATTCAAATATGGCCTTGTATATAACCCTAAATGTAAGGTCAGAAATAACATTTAATACGTTCAGCAAAAATATGTTTCTTTGGCAATCCCTACAAGGATGTTCATCTCTGGTGTGTTTACTTTTTGGATACGTTACACCTTTTTCATCATCATGAAAAGAAGTGGATGTTGAACAAATTTCTTTGCAGAAGCAGTTATGGCAACGCTGCTGTAATTTGTCTTATGTCGTCGTGTTCTCCTACATATACACAAAGAACAATACTGTATATGCACATAATTATAAAGTTAGATTTAAGTAAATTAAACATAAAAGCCATTTTCAAATCAATTGCTCTTTTCATAAAAGTGTGTACGTTGTGTTACGATTTTTTATACTTATACTGATTATATTTATTTCATACTAGTCCTTTTTCTGAACAGAGTACAAACTATACACTTCAGATATTTCCCTTGATATTTAGAAAAAATATACAAAAACGATATTTTTGATAATGTCGTTTATACGTAACCAATATTTTTTCCAGATCACGTCAATACTCTAAAGTCATTTAAAATGACGAATAATATTATTTCTCATTATTTTTATGACATGTCTGAAAATAAATTTATACTCATGAGATATCACAATTATTCAAACACAATTGCAATGATATTTATGTTTGTTTTTCCCACGCTTAGATTTTACAGAGTATCAGTATTAACATAAAATATCATTTACCAATCACTCGTCTCCTACCGCTTTCATCGATTACCCCAATCGACCACTCGTTCGTCATGCCGGTTAAGCATTCAATGGTTTATTAAATTCATTTTGTCCATAATGTAGTAGGAAAAGAAGGAACCGTCTTTTAGTGGTATTTTTCACTGGTTTATGTTGGTAAATACAACATAAAGATCGGTCAAAATTCCATTAACCCCATTGTTGAATAGTCCATCCGTCTGTCCGTAGAAATCTGGATCCTGTCTTAACTAAAAAAGAACACTAAAAATATGGAATGTAAGAATCAGAACATCAGTCAGAATACATGTATCTAACTCGTTTGTTATAACGAGGCTTTGTTGAGAGATATTACGGATTGACAAGACATCTTATCTAGCATATTATATACATGAGTATGATACAAGATTATATCCATCGAGTTCAAGCTCGAAAATGGTAAAATTTTAATTTATAACCACCCGCAGGCCTCTAAAAACGGCAGTTATCATGGAATCGTCAATGTGTCACTTCTTGCATTCCCATGACAAGTGACGTATGGTCTTCAAGTTAAAGAATAAGTGTGCACTAAACGAAAAAATAATAGGCGAAACTAAATAAAAAGAAAATTTGAAAGGAGATCAGAAATTATGAAGCATGCATATCACAGATTAGACGTCAAAAACCAAATTTAAAAAGCAGGCTTCAAATCCTAAGGGTGATTATACAATATCTCTAAAGAACACCTAAAACGACAAACTGAAAATATTGCAGGCTTGGTTTGATAGAGCCTGTTCATGGACGGTTATGGAAAGTGCAAGTTACCGTCTACGTCCCCTAGCACAGTTTTAGCAGAATGCAACATTAAATCATACAAAACAGCTTTATAACTGGCATTTGTCACTGTTTATGAAACATTTGTATAAAGCAACAACACTTTTCTTACAAATATAAACACGATAGCCTTTGTACAATCGTAATTTGATTTTATCAATCTATCATACATATTTTAAAACATATGAAAAATCCTCCGAGAGACATAACACACATCCAAGTTAATCCATGCGTGCGATACATATACACTTTATTTGAATGTAGTTCAGATGTAAAAACAAAGAAGAAGCATTGAAAATTGCAGACGCTCTTTGTGTGAGTCTGATAGTGAAAGACACATTTCTCATGTCCCCGGGTACCGGCTTATTTGTAATCAATACTAAACATACTGATATCAATGATTTCGAAGACCAGGGGAGAAATGCAAACACAAAAAGTAAAATTGTTTTTTCAAACTTTTATTAGTTTATTTCAGAAAAGTTATTAAATTTATATTTTTT